CATATACGGACACAACGGGTGAGGACTCGACGATCGCCGATGTCTTCGACACGAATACCATCACTGATGACGAGATTATCACAAATCTCATGGACATCGAGACATACATCAGTCCTACTGAGGACTCAACAGAATCTGCGGACAACATACTGGCCATCCCTGAGACCAACATCACCGTAGAGGAGGACGAGATATCCGACAGGACATACCAAAAGGCAGTGGAACTGGAGTTAGCCGTACTGCCCATTCCCCGCACTATCAACGACTACACCACTCTCAACGATGTTGAGTGCAATCGCATGATTGAGTTGTTCAGTATCCAGATGTCACTGACTAGACCCCAACCCCAGAACAAACTGGAGGCTCAGACCGTTGAGGATGTCATCAATTTTTTTGTCAGCAAATTCGAGCTCTATGTCCAGCGATTCGTCGACACCACCAAGAGTTTGTCCGCTTTTAATGACATTTGCGAGAATGACCAGATTGCCCTGATCAAATATAGCAGTTTAGAGACCCTGCTACTCAGGACTGCCCTCACCTTTGACTATCAGCACGAGTTCTGGACTTTTATTATGGTATTTATTAAGCATTTTGTTTTTGATCTTGTAGTAACTATATTTGTACTACATTTATTAATGTTATTTTTTAAATTATCATTTGTAATGATAAGTTTATTATTTTTACATTAAATTTTACAAATTATTTAAATTAAATTAAATTATTTATTTACAGGACGATGATAATTCAATTATACTTAAACTGGATTTATTGAAACCTATTAAAAGGGACTGTTACACACATTTTAGGACTTTCCTGCAAAAGTTTGGCAGTGAATGGGATTCTGACCCTTTTATCATTGATTTGGTATTTTATTATATTTAATTTTTATTTAATATTTTGAACTAATAATAATTAACGATTTTTACAGCTAATGCCTATAATACTATTTAACCCGGATAGACCAAACATTATTCACAAGGAATTAGTAAAGTATGCGCTTTTTAATCATTTTGTTGAATATTCTGTATTTAATTTCCTATTTCTTATAATAGAGTCCAACAGCAGATATACATGTATTTACTTCAACGCTATTTGCGTTTAAGATATTCATCTGAATGCGAAACGAAAGCCAAATTCTTGAGGATTTTGAATGTTTTGGAGTACTTAGAAAAACTGG